GCCCGGACTGCCCCCCACCCCCCGCTTCATTTCCGCGAACACCTTCCGGGCCTGCCGCTCCTGCTCCCGGTCTTCCAGGTCGAAGTACGTCAGCTGCGTGAGCGAGCCCGCCGCCCCCTCCCCCAACGATTCCCTCCATGTGCCCCTCCCGGTCCACAAAGGGAAAGCGGTAGAGGGCGTCGCGTCTCGGCAGCCGGGGAGCCGGCGCGTACTGGGAGGCATGTACGCCCGCGGGGAGAGGAGGAGCGCCCGCCGGGCTTGCCGACGGAAGGCTCCCACCTGTGGCGCCTGCGGCCGTGGGCGGTGCTCTCTGCCCCTGAGAACCGGGGCGGGGGGGGGGAGGTTCGCCTGCTCGGATGGGCCGCCGAGGAGGGGACATGACAGCGACTTCCTTCCTCGCCCTGTCCGTGATTCCCTCCAGCTCATTGACAGATGCGATGGATCCCGGGGGGCAGTTCGAGTAGAGGGAGCGGATGCCGTACAGGACAATGTTCTGTGGGTGCGGGGAAAATATAAAGTGGCGGGGGGGGGGGAGAGTGAGCGATTCGGATGTCGATGGGTTGTAGGGCCACGCGTAGCTGGCATGCAGAGAACACGAAGGCTTCCATTGCATCGTCTTCATGAGAATGCTGCGGATGGGTTCAGCAAGCGTGGGGTTGTGAAAAGTCGAGGCCCCTGGTTGCAGGGGGGGTTTGAGGCCTCGGAGGTGCCCAAAATAGGTCTAGGAAGACGTCACAATTACGCGCCAAGTATCCACCACTTTGAATAAATTGTCACGAGCTTTCTTCGGTTGAACATATTCGGGGAATAGTGGTGTATCCATCATTAAAGTGTTCCTCTCGACGAACGAAATTGCATGATATAAGGTTGCCAATTTTTTCCAGTAGTCTTCATGTACAAGCAATCAACCTACCTCCAGTACCGCCGGCCATTGTGTTTTTGGGAAGGTCATCAGGAAGTCCTTGATACTCTCGTTCGCAAGGAGAGGGACTTGACCTTTCGACTCGGGGCTTTTATGCGCTAGAGCAGCGGCTCGAGAACTAGGAGGAACAAGGCGGGAAGACTGCTTAACATTGCCCAGATTGTTGTTGAGTGCTGTCGCCCGCTTAACAGTGGCACCGTGTCCTTGCACCATCGTGCGTGCAGGTGGACTAGGTCCTGTTTCATGTTGCAAGGTTGGTGTTAACAAGTATTGAGGCGTCCAAGTTCCTGGCAGTGGGCCCCCAAGGTGGCGGCAATCAAGCGGCGAGTTCTCGCACTACGGTGACGAAAAAGCGACTCGGCGAGGCAGGCGTAGCAATGCACAATGTTGCCGGGTAATTGTGCGTGCACGAAGCCCTCTGCTGAAATGGTGCATTTAAAGAGGTAATGTAGAGGGGGAAATCCTCATCGTCACTCTCCCTGCGCGTCTCCGGCATTCACATGACAGGAGGGAGGGGACGAGTGCAAGACTTATTCGATCCTCGGTCAGGAGGGTCCCTGGGGCAAGCACGAGTTTAATTGCGTCATAATAAGCTCCCTACTTGTAAGCCATGAAGCTTGGTAATCTTTTGCCCCCAACGGATGCATACTGGGCCACCATTTTTTTTCCCGCCTTGCTTGGATATCTTGTGCTGCTTCAGGCTGCTATGAATCGACGCCCCGTGTTGGGTAGTGTAGAACGCCTCCAACCGTCTGTCCTCAACACTTTACTCGCGCCAGACGCTCAGTTGGAAATTATTGCCGAGGGTAATTTATGGGCAGAAGGTCCCTTGTGGGTGTCGGACGAGGACAGCGCAGACGGTGGCTTCTTGCTCTGGAGTGACGTCAAAAAGAATCTTATCTATCGGTGGGAGGAGGGTGGCGGTTTGTTCACCATCGGGAGGAGCGTCTTCTTGAAAGAGAGTGGATGTCGGCCGTCTCTGTCACCTCTCGCGTCAGGCGGCGAAACGGAGACGAAGGACGGCAGCAGCAGCAGCGACGAGAGTTGCAGTGATGGTATCTGTGGAGATGACGTGGCTCGATGCGCCACTTTGAGAGAGCCGGGTTCCAACGGGTTGACATTGGAGCCGGGATCGGGGCTGGTCGTCATGTGTGAGCATGGGGAGCGTCGGGTCTCGCGCCTGGAGGCAAACGGGAGCTTCACCCCTCTCGCTACCCATTACCAGGGCAGGCGGCTGAACTCGCCCAATGACCTGGTGTTCGGGCCGGGCGGTGACTTGTATTTCACTGACCCGCCGTACGGGTTGAATGGACTAGACGCGGACCCAGCGAGGGAGCTGGAACGTTTCGGGGTATACCGGGTCTCCAAGGAGGCGATGGAGCAGCAGGCGGTCTCCTCGGCCAAGGGAAGCGCGGAGGTGCAACTGGTCTTTGATGGACTGAAGCGACCGAACGGTCTGGCCTTTTCCCCTGATTTCACACATCTATACGTGGGAGATAGCGACGCCGAGGACCCGCACTGGGCCGTGTTCGAGATGGATGCGAGCACAGGCCTGGTGAAAGGGGAGGAAGGCGCGCGTGTCTTTGCAGACGCTCGGGCTTACCAAGAGAGAGATGACGCTGGAGGCAAAATACGCATCGGCAATCCAGACGGCCTTAAAGTGGATGAATATGGGAATATATGGGCCACAGGACCTGGAGGAGTTTTGATTTTCTCTCCCCAGGGAGAGCGGCTGGGAACGATTTTGACGGGGAAAAAAACGGGCAATGTTGCTTTTGGAGGAAAAGAGAAGTCCAGGGGAGGAAAGGGGATGTTTTTGTACGTGTGTGCCAACGATGTTGTAGCTCGTATTCCGATATTGGTGAGGCCTGCGCCCTCCCCTCCCATGAAGCGAGTTGTAGAAGAGACATCTCGCTCTTGAAGAAAGGAAGAAAAATTGCATATTGTAGCACCTTCAAAAAAAGTATTCCAGCAAGATGCGACTGCCGACCGCATGGATTGTCTTTCATTCGATGGTTTGGCTATTCCATCCTGAAGGAGCGTATTCTGGGGCTTTACCCCCCCTGAAGGAGGGCCCACGCCATAAGGGAGTGCTTCAACTGCACAGAATGAGAAATGTGGAGAAGGCAAAGATCCCGTGTACATTTATCTGACGTGACGAATTGAGAATTGATCTATTTCAGAGCATCTTCAAGAGAGAGGGGCCATTCTTTAGAATTGTTTGATATGTTGCCATATATGTAAATTGTTGTACCAAGCATGCTTCCTAGGGACTTAACCTCCTCATCGTGCCCAAAACAGGCATGAAGGGTAAAGCCAAACGCCGTCACGCTGTTACTGGTACTCTGCTTGTGGTCGTCGGTATCGTGGGCACCGCTCAACTTGCTTTTGGCTTCGTTAGATCCACCTTTCTCGTCCATTTCGGGGACGCTCCTCCCTACCACAGGCGTCCCACGTCGCTTCGGGAGCACAGTCAAAGCGACACGCTGCCTTCAAAACTACTTCTGCTCCACGTAGCCTATGATGGCAGCCAGTATAAGGTCTGGAGGGACCTCGATACTCCAGAGAACCAAAATTTTAAGGGTCAAAGACTCAAGAAACGGAGCCGCCCTCCTCGGCGCACGCTTTCGTTGCATCACCGCCTCGGTACAACACTCTCCATCATTCACAGTCACGTGCCTCCACATTCCCTACAACTTACTCCGGCTCTTTTAGTGACCGGGGGTGCCCACGCTGAATCGCAGCTTATCTCTTACCGGCCGCCTGCCCTTCCTTTCAACGGAGACCTGAATCAGACCGCCCATGCCTTAAACAGGCTTTTGCCCGCCGATGTGAGGGTGCTAGAGGTGCTATTTCCCCCATGGGACAATTTTTGTATGCGTCGAGATCTGGTTAGCGTCACGTATTCGTACACGATCATCCTCGGCGGGTTGGAAGACCCGACACTGCGGCACTACGCTCGGGTATACCACCATCAGAGGAAGGAATGGGTGGAGGAGGGGATTAAGAGGCTGCAAGCAATTTTTGGATGCTCAAATATGACGGCAGAGGAGCTGCTTGGAAAAGGAGGGGAAAGGGATGCTGGGGCGGGGCAGAGGTTGCTGAGTGCAACAATGGAGGCGGGGTGGGGACCAGGCATTGGTAAGGGCCGGGCACGGCTAGCGCGGTTTGAGCTAGAGGTGGAGGGGAGGCGGTCCGAAAATCTTGATGACGAGAAAAGACAGACCATGGTAGTGGAGTGGGTGAACACGGTTGTTGGCGAGGTTTTTGGGGGGGAGAGGAAAGGGGTGGGTGGGACGGTGGACAGGAGGCGGGGGGATGAAAGGTCAGGTTTCAACGGCTTGGTCCTCAAATCGTTACTTTTTCGCCAGCGAGGTGAAGAGAAGGTATTGTGGACACTGCGCTCGGAGGCAGGAAGGAGGGGAAAACCACAAGTGGGGGGGACATAGAGGCCTTTCTCATCGGAGTAAAATGAGGAGATAAATGTAGTTATCTTGAGGATGGGTAGAATATAAATCTGAATCATAAAAGCATTGATTACACAATCGACAAAGTACTCTTTGTCGGTCAGATTTGGACGGTCTGCCTCGCTCACCATCCTTCTACCCTGTATCGAAGCAGTTCTCTTACCTTCTCCTGCGGACGCATACCTGATCGCTTTAATTGCACATCGTCACTGCCTTGTAGGTTGTTGACGTGTGTCCTCCTCGCTATAGACCATATAGTACTTGCTCAGACCGTGAGATACAGCGACAATTATGAATGATGATTCTAATTAATATGAGAAACATGAAACAGCCACTGTCTATTCTGATACCCTATTCAAGTGGCAATAATATAAACAATTTATATTTACGAAAATATATTTCAAATAACAAAGCGTTTGACTTTTGCAGATTCCCGGATTTCTCTGCGGGTAAAACATCGTGCCTTGGAAGTTCCGATTTGTTTGAAACTACCATGGACAGAAAATTGAGCACCACAATCAATTTTTTCGTTTTTATACATATTGCATGTAAAAATGGAATGCCCCAGGTTATAATTCTAGTGAAACAGTACTCCACGCAGACTCACTTCACATGTGGGGGAAAGGTGTCTGTCCTAATAAAAGAAGTGGTAAATGGAGCAGTAGATCACCAGCTTCGAAGAACAGGAGGAAAATAAATTGGTCGTTTGTGGAGGTTCGCAATTGTTTACGTTGCATGTATACTTTTGCGGGTCTGAGACCACGACTTTTGATATAGCTTTCTATTGTATGCTCAAGCGGCATGATTCCATCTCAGCTTTGTATCCTCAGAGCATTAAACAACACTCTTTTAGTAGTTGTTAACATATTTGTGAGCTTTTAAACGAGACAGCAGCTTTTTTGAAAGAAACGAGAATGGGAGGAATTTAAGAAATAAGACGTAATATCACGCGGAGGAGAAAATAAAAGTGCAGAGTGTGTGTCATCGTCGACATACCTCCGCGAATCATGACATGAAGATGGTGTCACGAGCAAGAGCAGCCCCCCATCCCATAGCAACCTTGCTGGCACATCAGTCTGAACCTTGCCACACAAACAAGGGGCGGTCTTAGTTTTATGCTGTGTCCACACAAGGGATAAGAGCACCCAAACTAAAGCGAGATGCCTGGTGCACCATCGTCACAGCTCGGCCGCTCGGGCTCCAGAAAAGTTCAATTTTCGAACATCGCTACGAAAGAATGACTTTCACTATGGGCCCTCTTGCCTCCCTCGTAGTGTCATGGGTCCCTCAGATGACAGACTTGATGTCCCCCATGATTTCAAAGACAATGGCATAAACAGCAATAGTATATGTCTTACATTTAACGCTGCGGCTGCTGCATTGCACCATGTTAATGAGACACCAACGCTTCATTATTGTCGCTACAAGTACAAGTTTTCGCTAAATTACGGTCCCCGAGCTTTGAAGCTTTTAAGCGGTCGGAGCTAAGGCGTGGGAAGAGTAATGAGCACTTTCCATAATTCAATCACCTATGCTTCAACGCTTGTATAGAATACGCATCGAATTCTCCAGGAGATTGATTGTACGCGAACAAGTGTCAAAGGGAAAAGAGGGGCGAGTGGAATGGGCCACCTAGTAATCTCGGTTAAAAAGTTGCTTACATGTCGATGCTTCAATCACCATTAATTAGCAATTTCATACAACATGCAGCTGTAGATTTATCGAGCATCCATCCAGTCGGATCCTTTGTCGCACCAAAGTATAGCCACCATAAGCACGATCATCGTAGCCTGCGCCTCACATAAGTGTTCTTCTTTAAAAATCTTTCTAGGACGGCAGCCTCAACCTACATTAATTAGCCAAGATAAATGCGAATATTCAAGATCACATCGTTGTTCGTCCTCCTAGGCTTATCCTGTATTCCATCTTTAGCCGTCGAGGAATGTGCCAACATCCGACTGACTGCCAAAGTACGTCCTACCGCTAAGCGTGGGATCTTGGCAGGCAACGGTCACGCGAAACTTACCGTCATCCTTCGGAACAAGGATGCAGTTGAAGGTTTGAACATTAAAGTAAGCCTACCCAGCTCGTTGTCGGTCGTACGGACTACGACTAGGCCTCGAAAGCCCTATGTTTTACCATATGCGGTGGAGAATCTGGAGGAGACTGCAATTTATTGGTCAGACATCGATTTCGCTCGTAGGAGTGGAAGAAAGCGCATTTTCAATGTCAAGGTACAAGCAGATGATTGCGCTCCCAAGCAGCTGGAAGTAAATGCGCTGGCGTATCTTGCGAACGCTACAACGACGCATTGCACTGTACCGCTATCGAAACCAGAGGTTTTGAATATACGATACGCCGAGTCGACGAGTACGACCACATGCGTGCCGACTCCAGCGCCCTCTATCAATCTTGCCGAACCTTTCGTACCGTTCGGTCTAGGGCAGCGATGTGCTGAAGCGAGTCGTCTGGCGCCTTTCGGAGACCGACGGTTGCAGGAGCATCTAGGGAGGGGAAGGCTGCAAGACAATACTCGCGTGATTTCAGCTCGAGCCCGCCATCTCCAGGGGATCGATACACCACAACAATGCTATGAATACTGCTCGCTCAATGGGGGGGCGCCAGCACCTTTCTTTTTCAACTGGAACACCATTGCGAGTGAATGCCTTTGCTGTGCTGGGGAGTGCACATTGATCCGGGATCCTGCATTTGACGCGTTTAAAGTCATTGTGGCACATAAGAATATTTCGGGAAACCCTTTATTAGCTGAAAGCTTTTATGACGGCCAAGAGAGTGGTGCCACATCAATTTGTGCGGATGACTCGGGAAACTCATACATAACTGGCTATTTTTTCCAAAAGTTTTCGGTGGGCGACGTTACTTTGAAGGGGAAAGGATATGCTGATATTTTTGTGTACAAGGTAAACCCGAGCGGCGGCATAATGTGGGCGAGGTCGTTCGGGGCCAAGAAGAGTGCTGCCGGGGGAAGTAGCATCGCTGTGGATACGTCTGGTAACTCTTACGTCACAGGGTTCTTTCAAGGAGTGATGATAGTTGGTGTCACCATTCTTACACCCGGCTCAGAGCAGAATGTCTTTATATTTAAACTTGATTCTGGGGGCCAGGTGGTTTGGGCAAAGAATTTCGGGACTATAGGGATTCCATACGGCCAGAGCATCGCTGTGGATTTGTCCGGGAATTCCTACACCACTGGAGCTTTCGAGGAAACCATGCCCGTTGGTAACACCACTCTTACAGCTGTCGGACTTCAGGATTTTTTCGTGATCAAACTAGATTCCACTGGTTCCCCCGTTTGGGCCAAGAGCTTTGGCAGCAGTCTAGATGACATGGGGCTTGGCATTACTGTGGATGCATCTGATAATAGCTTTATCACCGGATTTTTTAGTGGAAACATGTCGGTGGGTAATACTACATTACCTATCATTGGAAGTCAGGATATCTATATGATCAAACTGAATTCCACCGGGGAGCCGGTATGGGCGCAAAATTTCGGAGGTACTGGTGAACCGCAAGGAAATAGCATCGTTGTAGATGCGTCCGGCAACTCCTACACAACTGGTTTTTTTTACGGACTTTTGAATGTCGGCGATATAAGATTTTCGAGCTTCACCAATGCTATTTTTTTGATCAAATTAGACTCTACAGGCAATCCAGTATGGGCGAAAAACTTTACGAGCGTAGGTACCGCAGAGGGAAACGGCATTGCAGTGGATGCATCCGAAAATTCCTACATCACCGGTGAATTTAACGGAAATTTGTCTGTAGGAAGCTTCTTACTGACGGCACCGGAGAGGCAAGCCATGTGTCTTTTCAAGTTAGATCCCACTGGTAACCCGATATGGGCTCAAAACTATGGCGGCTCCGTTTCCTCGTCAGGAACGGGTATTGATGTGGATTCTTCCGGCAATGTCTACAACGCTGGAAGCTTTGAAGGAGACATGGAAGTAGGAAGCGCCACACTCACATCTCCTGGTGTCAAAAGCCCCTACATAATCAAGCTAGGCCCCTAATCGAAATGAATTCTATTTCAGTGGGTGTACAAATCATGACAAATTTCAATGACACCATAAAAATAATCATTCAAGGGCTATCGTTGTGCACTCGTGTACAGTGACAAAATAATTTGTATGCCCTAAGGAGCTGAGAAGTCTCTACATCTCCAAAATATGTCTTCAACATTGGCATGGCATTCTTACCCTGCCATGTTATTGGCAATTCATTAATGCCAAAGCTTTAAGCCTCTCGAAAACTGGTCGGCAAGCAGCCAGTGTGATTTGTAGTTGTAATATTTGGGATCTTTTTTTGGAAAAGGGGCCGATTCTCTTTGAAGAAATAGGGCAGATCATCGTCATGCTTTGTTTCGCCGGTTGACAACTGAACCCCACTCCATTACATGTTCCTTTACTCGCTTGCTATAAAAGATATTCCCCGTCATCTACCTGTCTCTAACCCTTTTGTCCACATGTCTACCGTATGACATGTGGCAATGAGCCACTATTTCCCTCCTCTGATTTTGTCTATTTCATTTTCATTTGTCTTTTCATATCTTGATATGGTCACAACTATCACTGGGTCTATCGCAAGTCAGACGAAAATACATTTTGACTTCTTATTTGGCTTTATGCTGTCGTTCTTCCTCGATTCTATCCATAACACCACTCAATTCTTGCGGCGGCCCATCCGAATTTACTAAGCCCATTTACTAATCGCATACCACCTCCTATATATTATCGTTTCGTTCAAATTTCCGAATCTATGGACAGCTAGCCATAACCAAGCATAAAAATGCAGAGTGTGTGTCATCGTCGACATACCTCCGCGAATCATGAAATGGAGTGAGAGTGTTGGCCCCGCGCTCAGGAGCAGCCCCCCATCCCATAGCAACCTTGCTGGCACATCAGTCTGAACCCTTGCCACACAAACAAGGGGCGGTCTTAGTTTTATGCTGTGTCCACACAAGGGATAAGAGCACCCAAACTAAAGCGAGATGCCTGGTGCACCATCGTCACAGCTCGGCCGCTCGGGCTCCAGACAAGTTCAATTTTCAAACATCGCTACGAAAGAATGACTTTCACTATGGGCCCTCTTGCCTCTCTCGTAGTGTCATGGGTCCCTCAGATGACAGACTTCTTGATGTCACCCATGGAGGACAGTGGCATAAACAGCAATAGTATATGTCTCACATTTAACGCTGCGGCTGCTGCATTGCACCATGTTAATGAGACAAAAAATTGGGATTACAGGGTATCCATCCGGTTAGAGCATCGCTGCGGTTTCATCGGGCAATTTCTACATCACAGGAGCTTTCGAGGAAACCATGCGCGTTGGTAACACCACTCTCACGGCTGTTGAAGGACCGGATATTTTCGTGATCAAACAAGATTTCACTGAAAACCCTATATAGGTATAGGGCTTTGGCAGTACCCTGGATGACAAGGGGCTTAGTATTGCTGTCGATGGATCTGGCAATATAAGCTTTACCACCGAATTTTTCCAAGGAAACCTGGTCTGTGGGTAGCACCGTTCTCCCACATATTGGCTTCCAAGGTATCTATATGATCGAGTTGGATTTAAACGGGGAGCCGACTTGAGCGAAAACTTTTAGGGGTACTGGTGAACCGCGAGGATAGCATCGTTGTGGATGCATCCGGCAACTCCTACACCACCGGGATCTTTGTCGGGCGCCTGTTTGTGCGTAACAATAACCTGACGTCTCTTTCAGACGCCATCTACATTATCGCTTTGGATTCTACAGGTACTCCTACATGGGCTTTAAAAATTTTACAAGCACTGGATTTGCGCGTGGAGACAGCATTGGTGTAGATACTTCGGGTAACGTCATTGGTTGTGTTGAAGGAAATCTGACTGTAAGAAGCATTTCCTTCATCCTGCTGGGAAGCGAAGCGACGTTTCTCTTGAAGGTAGACTCTGCTGGCGTCCCCTCGTAGGCACAAAACTTTGGTGGCAGCGATTTCTCATCAGGGAACTGTCGATGCGTCCGGAATATCTTACAGTACCGGTCAATTTCAAGAAAACGTGGTCATTGGAGCCGCAACCCTTACGGCTTTTGACATCCAGGACGTCTTCATGATTAAGCTGGGACCCTAAGCAAATAATGCATAAATTTCGGCGGACACAGGCTTATAAACTCTTTTTCGGATTAAGTCGGTCAAAGAAGAAGTGTCGAAGTGAGAAGTTGTATTGCCAAGAAAGCGACATGTCCAGGTATACCAGAACATGCGAAATTAGGGGCGGACGGCTGTGCGACCCATCCCAAAAGTACACAGTCGCTCCTCTCTCATCACCAAAACACACGCTTTAAAAAAAGAACAAAAAAATGGAAAACAGGTTTACCCCATCCGTGCTCTCCTTCATCAGAAGCAATTTGTCTCCTTCACTTCCCTCTTCAATCGCAACTCATAAATCACTACGTCCTGACATGCCATCCTCGGTCCCCTGTGTTCCCTCGCTTCCTGCCCTTTCTTTTTTTCTATCTCAAACTTTACCCGCGCTCTCTCGAACTCTTGGTCCACCTCCTCAAAAAAGATTGCGGCATCAGGGTGTCTCTCTCGATGGGCCAGAAGGATGAGAGAGTTCGGATGGGATAGGATCCGGAGAGCTTTGATTAAACTGGAGTAATACTTGGGCTCGTAGATTACGTCCGCAAGGAGAATCACATCAAAGCAACCATCCGAGCGTTTTCTTTCTCCCCCATCGCTTAGAAATTCGCTGTCTTCGCCCCATGTGTAGGCACGAGCTGAGCAGAAAGAAGGGGGATTAGGAGAGGAGGCAGGTAGGTTCAGCTCAATGTTTGTTTGAATGAGCGGTACCACTCCAGGAAGGTCAGTGATGAGGACGGAAGCTTTACCCAGTAAGGCGGCAGCAATACCAGCTATACCAGTCCCAGCCCCGAGCTCAATCACTCGACAAGTCTCTTTCCCTTCGTTTCCCTCCTGTCCCCTGTTTTCTCGTTTCCCCTCCCTCCCGCCTTCCCTGCCTCCGCCCACCGCCTCAGGATGCTCGGCCAGGTAGTGGGTGAGGACCAGCCCTGCGTCCCACACCTTCCCGCCTATCCCGATTTCTCCAGGGGCCTCCGCCACAAGTAGAGATCGCTCGAGGGAGGGTATATGGATGGCGCGGCAGCTGTTGATACCCGAGGTACACGAGGAGGAAGCCGGCAGCGAGGGTGAGGGACTTGGGACGATTTGGAAGGGGAGGGAGAAGACAGGAAGGACTTGGCGGGTGAGCAGTTCGGAGGGAAGAGAGACTTTGAGAATGACGGTCGCGGAGGGAGGTGGAGAGAGGGCCGTCTCGTCCGGAGGGAGAAAGCGAACCCGTGCCCTCAGGCGGCAGCTACTACCCCTCCTGAAAGCAATCCGCCTTCTGCTTGAGTTTCTCTCCCCTTCGTCCTCGTCTTCCTCCTGTCCTGTGAGGGAGGGCAAGGCTTCTGCCTCAACCTTTACCCGCGCGCTTGGCTCTTGATATGTTCCTCCATAGTCCACAACACTGAAGCACACCGGGAGCCATAGACCTCCTTCCTGTCCGTGCTCATCCCCGCCTCCTTTCTCGAGCATGGGAAAGTCCCGCCGCCTCCACAACCCGAACTCATTGGCCATGAACACAGAGACGGTGGCCCATTCTCCCCAAGCGACCGTCCCCCCTCCCGCCCTCCCGCCCGCGTTCAACGCCGTGGGTGCGTCCCGGAAGAAGAGGCGAAGAGTCTGGCACTCATCGACCAGCCCCTCTGCTTCCGCTGCGGGTGCGTCGTCGGCCCCAGGCCCGTGCGAGAGGAGCGCCATCTGCCTGCTTTGGTCATGAAGGGCGTGGAGGGTCTTGAGGAGGGAGGGAGGGAGGGAGGCGGGAGAAGCCGAAGGTGGGGAAAGGAAAGCAGGAGCGACAGAAAGAGCACGGTTGAGGACACTCGTAGCGGTATCAAAGCGCTCGAGGGCTAAGAGAGCAGTGGCCCGACGAAGGTAAGCTTTCACGTTGCCGGGGTCTACACACAGCGCAGTGCCGGCATCACTCTCTGCCGATTCATATTCTCTCAGCTGCAGTTGAGCCTGGGCACGGTTCGAAAAAAGGAGCGAGATGATTCGATCTTCGGGGCTTATACTGCAGCGCGTCATCTTCGCGCTTCTGCTTCTTCCCACGGAAAGGCGGTCCTTCTCGCTCGACAATAAAGCGAGCGCCTCCGTCCAGGCAAGAATAGCTTCCCCGTAGCAACCTAGGTACGTCAAGTAAGTAAAAAGTACACAGCAATCCATGAGTCTTTCCTTGGCTGGGAAGACTCGACGCGTGAAGCAAAAACTGAATGACAACAAAGAGAAGTGAGGGACTCTCCGACGTGTGTCGGTGGCTGTACTTGAAGTATAAAGTAATTTGGGTGAGTTTTAAAACTTACCTCTCTGGTAGAGCAGATTGCCGCGTTCCCGCAGCGTATCTAACGACAATCTTCCCTTGTGAGGGCTCGTCTCCCCGTCCTCGACCATGGTACACCTCCTTCGAGTGTTCAAGAAAGAAGAAGTGAAGGCGGAGGGTGAGGAGGTTACGACGCTAAATCAACCCAACATCCAACGAGAAAGTCAAAATTTTCAAGCGTACTATGTATATTTCTCGAATCACAGGTCTATAAAAAAGTCCAACAGTCACGTCTTGGTCAAGTCCTAACGTAAACATCCGCACTTTCAAGGTCGGTGTATCCGCAGCCCGTGAACCGATGACAAAGTGTTGTACCCAATCACGCGTCCTTCTACCTCTACTGGCACTAATTTTCTTGTTGTAGGCCCCGGCTATGCCTTCGCCACGCGGCACTTGCCGTTGGCCTGGTAATAATAGAGGTTTCCTAGGGGGTGGGGAGGTAGAGTCGAAGCGAGCAATCAGCGACTCATATCCATCCAAGCCTCTTCCCGCCTTCGTGTGCATCCCTGCCCTTCTCCTGGTGCTAAGTACCATCGCCCACCTCCTCCCGCACCTGTCTCTCAGGTTTTCACCCCTGCTTGGTACGGGGGCACGGGTCCAGGCTGCTCTATTTCACGGCGAACGCAGTCTGAGAGCTGAGTGACGAAGACTGACTCCGGCCAGTTGCGATCATCGAGGGCAAAGTATCTATTTGCCTCGTTACCCGCGTACTATGGTGACCAACGGCGAACACACACCTGCTGAGGATGAAGTGCAGCAGGAGGTGCAAGGCGAGGAGCAAGCGCAGGAAGAAGAAGTGAATGCAGAGGAGGAGGACTTGGCTGTTCCCAACGGGGAAGGTGGTGGAGAGACTGAATCGGAGGCGGTTGGGACCAAACGCCCACGAGAGGAAGAGGATGAAGCGAAAGAGGGGGAGCATGCGGAAGAGGCGACAGCAGAGACAGAATCCACCGGAAAAGTAGAAGAAGATCATGCAGTCGTTGGACAACCGAGTAAGAAACAGGCGACCACCGAGGCCCGAGAGTCGAGCGCGGAAACCAACGCCGCCTTTGCCGAAGCCAATCAACACCAGGAGGTGATGGACGTGGCCAAGGACGTGGTGGGTCGTATCATTGGGAAAGGGGGAGAAACGATCCGAGACATCCAAACGCGGAGTGGCTGCCAGTGCGTGATCGATCAAAGCGTCCCCGACGGAGAGCCCCGGAAATTAACCATCGTGGGCAAGCCCGAGCACGTAAAGAACGCGCGGGCCATGATCGAAGGCGTGATGGAGGGGGGCCCTTCCGTGCTGGCGGATTTTCCGGAAGTGGCGGGCAATTCCAAGGCGACAGTGGACTGCCCGCGGGGCCTGGTGGGACGATTGATCGGGAAGGGGGGAGACATCGTCAGGGAGATCCAGTACAAGAGCAAGGCAGTCATCCAGATCAATCAGTCCCTCCCGCAGGACCAGCCCTGCAAGGTGACCATCACGGGGGCACCCAAAGCCGTGCAAAGTGGTAAGACATTCTTTTTGCCTTCTCCTCGTCTCCTCTCCCTCCCCTTCCTCCCTCCCTCCCTCCCTCCCTCCCTCCCTCCCCGATCCTAGTCCCTGACCTGTAACCCCCCTCCTTTCTGCCTAGCACGTGAGATCATCATAGCCATCATGGAGCAGGGCGTTCAGGCCCTCCATCAGTATTCTGCGGGCGGGGGCTCCAGCCACGCAGGCGGCGGCTTTCCCAGCGGAGGAAGCGGGGGAGGACGGGGAAGAGGCGGGGGAGGCGCGCGCCTGTACCCCGTCCCTGTAGATGCGAGCACATGGGCAGTGGAGGTGCCCAAGAGCCAGGTGGGAAAGGTGATCGGTCGGGGGGGTGAGATCGTCGGGCTTATCCAGGACAAGAGCGGGTGCCGGTTGCAGATCTCGCAGGACGTTCCGGAAGGCCGGCCTTGCCGCGTCTCGATCATGGGGGGAACGGAGGGGGCGGCGGACTACGTCTGTGAGATGATCGAGGCCATCATGGA